TCTTAAAATCCACCTTATTTTATAAGACAGGGTCTTTCAATGGAACCAGGGGCTTGCTAATGAGGCCTATCTGCCTGACTAGTGAGTCCCAGGGATCTGCTGGTCTCTGTTTCCGCAGAGTGGGCTTACAAGTGGGTGCTAACATATCTGGCTTTTTAATGTGGACTGGGATCAAACTCTAACACTTGACAGCTGAGCTGTCCCCACAACCCCAGCCTCAGTTCCGACATGTACCTTTGGAGATACAGACAGAGGCTGAAGTATGAGAATCACAGCTTTTACAATGACTCTCAAGCTCACAAACTCGTTTTTGTGGTCTAGCTTCTGGCAAAGAGAAGAACATGAGCAAAGAGGGGGAACAAGACAAAAAGGAGGCTGGAAGGAAAATCATAAAGACACTGAGTGCTCAGAGTTCTCTGAATGCCATTGTAAAGTGAAAAGCCTGTAGGAAAACAGGGGAGTAGTCCAGGACAGCCCCAATAATTCTCAGAAGATTCCCAGAAGAAAGGCATGCAGACGGTACTTTATTGGTGAAATTATTATGGCCATTCCACATAGTTAAAAGGATATTTATTTAATGGTGTAACTCTCAAATTAAGGAATAGGTAGGTCGCAGGGTCTGGGGAAGGTGTATCGCAGTCCAGAGGTGTTCTCTGGAGCTCTGCTCGGTCCACCTCCACCGTTCAGCGTCCCGGCACCGAGAGAGCCCTCGCCCATCCAGCTCTCGGGTCTCCAGGCACCTCCTCTGGCCCTGCCTCGTAGGCGTGACAGTTGCCAGAGTCTCAATGGGGGTTGGAACTTCCAGATCCAAGCTGGAATGGCTACTCACTACATCTCCCCCTTTTTGTCTAAATAAGAAGGTTCTAAACTAATACAAGACTACATACAAGGAAGGGTTATCAAATATTGTCCAGGAATAATGAGGGATAATGACCTAGATAAGATGTAACTACAACCAATGCAAACAATATCAAGCAAGAAACACATACTAAAATCCAGAGAAGTATAGAGCATAGGTAAATGGCATGTTATAAAGATCATTCAAAGGTGTCCTATCCTAAAGAACCTGAATCTAATACTTAATATGTTCTATCTAAGATATTATATATACTAAGTTGTAACTATAACTGCTAGTCTTCAGTGCTGTGGATATCGCTCTATATAAATAAAACACTAATGGCCAGTGACCAGGCAGGAAGTATAGGTGGGACAAGGAGAGAGGAGAATTGGGGAAACAGGAAGGAGGAGAGACACTGCAGCCACCGCCAGGACAAGCAGCATGTAAAGACGCCAGTAAGCCACCAGCCACGTGGCAAGGTATAGATTTATAAAAATGGGTTAATTTAAGATATAAAAACAGTTAGCAAGAAGCCTGCAACGGCCATACAGTTTATAAGTGATATAAGCGTCTGAGTGATTATTTTATACGTGGATTGTGGGACTGCGGGGCTTGGTGGAAGCTGGAGAGAAGCCCTCCAGCAACAGTACTTAGTAAATGCACATTGTACTGATGAAGACTAAACTTTAGCAGCCCAAATTGAATGTAGGGGTGCTATTGAGCCTGGTCAATGGGGAAACGTGAAACATTCTCCCATGGGACACATACAAGTGTGTCCTTTCCCCCCATTTTGAGAAACAGCTCAGCTTAGAGGAATACGGGCAGCTTCTCAAGAGGACCATGCATTCTTATCACATAACTTAAAGCAAGCCACAACCTCTCTACGCCTCAACCTCCTTGTCTATAAAAAGAGGATATTTGGTTCTTGTGGATAGGTTTGCCAACCTCTGAATGCCACACATCTCCTAGTTTGCGGCATATGGTAGATGCTGAATCCACTTTAAAGAAAAGAGAAAGGAAGAAGATTGGTTTTGTGAAGCTTGTTTGAACTGACGTTTTGACAGTTTCTAGCATAATGCCTGTCACGAGGATGTTCTGAAAGCAGCATGTATGATATGACATGGAGTAAGGTATGACGTAATGGACAAGAACAGGTTGCAACCTATTTCCCAAACACCTAGTGCAGTATCAACAGTCTTAATGAAACAAGGCCTGCTCTTCCCAACTGCCTTTTCTTTGCAGTTCAAAGTAAACCAGAGTCTCTTGACACCACCTGGAACAAAACACAGCTGACAATATAGCTTCTAAACAATAGGCATTCCTTTCTCAGAGTTCTGGAGGCATGAAGTCCAAGATACAGGTGCTCAAAGATTGCATGTTCAGTGAGGTCCCACTTTTGGTTCATAGATGGTACTGAGTGCTCACAGGGTGTGAAGAGGGCAGGCAGATGTATGGGTATTCTTTATCAGAGATTGTGTTCTCATGATCTAACACTTCCCAAGGGCCCTGACTCTGCCTCATCCTATCACACTGTGTCAATGAATGGATTTTGGGAGAATAGAAACACATTTCACAATGGGGCCAGAGTTCAGCAAAGACTGAGTTGAGGGGACCCATGAAGAAAGAGGCAGGAACAAAGTAGGAACTTTGCAGGGTTTTGATAGCACAGACAAGATGGAAAACCAAACTGTGATTTGCAGCATGATTCAGCTAATTGTTCCTTGTGACTACATGATTATTCACCGGTGCGTCAGAGCCAGTGGGTGCAGAACAGAGTTAACTGCAGAGGCAAGAACAGCCTTTTATGTCCTTTTGCTACAAAAACCAGAGAGTGACGCATTGCATTTGAGCTCCATGATAGAGGAATGACCGTTTTTAGGGTTTTTGTTTGACTGACCCATCAGCAAACCTCCAGCTGGGTGTTTCTGAGTATGTTCTCCATTTCCTCTTGTTCCTCAGCATTGTATCTACTCGGCACGCCCTGTTCAGATCACAGAGCTTCTAACTTCCATCGAAGAAAAGAGCTATAAAGTCCAGGCTTGAGGACTGAAGAGCTTCTCAGTCAAAAGGCGCTGTCAGTCCCGGCCAGTGACTGCTTTGGCAAAGATATAGAGCAAGATTTCAAACAAGAAGCATTGAGTCATATTCAAGATCAGAAACATTACACAAGATCAGACACAGTCCAGAACCAGATAACCTAAGTAGAAGATTGAATAGCGCGATTTAAATGAGAAACCCTTCAGATCCCTGGCATAAGTGAATGTAACCTTACGTGGGACAAGGGCTTTATAGATGGAAGTAAGCGAAAGTGTTCTTATGATGGCACTGGAATATCCAAGTGGCTGCAAGTCCAAAACAGGTATCCTAAGACATGCCCCTGCAGGGGGAGAAGAGAAGAAATGCGAGAGGGCTGGCGGTGTACAAACAGCAGCAGAAGGAGAGTTTACCTACAGCCAGATTCGGGACTAATGTGTCAGGGAATAATCTAAGCCACCTAGGTTCTGCAGTCACAGGATACCAAGTCACTGTATGTTGATGATGGTGTCAGGCTGGGAGTGGCCAATAAGCCAAAGAAAATTCTCAAAGAGGACTTGTGTTGAAAAGAAAAATGCTCTTTTCAGACATTTGTTTCCATGCTACCATGTGCAAACTCTAACTCCCTTCTCTAAAATTTCAGAGCAAAGACCCAGTTTCATATTTCCCTCCTTAAAGAATTTAGCAAGATGGGAAGGGTACAATTCCTAAAAGTACTCAGGTACTGAGTACTTTCTCTGTTCCTTTCCCTTATATTCCCAGCACTCTGTGTGGGGCTGAGAGATAGCTCCATCAGTAAAGTACCTGCCACACAAGCATGAGGACCTGAGTTTGACCTCAGTATCCATGCAAAAAGCAGGGCATTATAATCCATGCCTATAACACAAGTATTTGGAGAGTTAGAGATGTCTGGATCCCTGGGTTTCTTTGACTGTCCTGCCTAACATAATCAGTGAGCCCCAGGTTCCAAGAGATGCCCTGTCTCAAAAACCATGATGGAGAGCTTGTAAGATGCCTCATCAGATAAAAGTGCTTGCTGCTAATCCTGACCACCAAAGTTTCATCCCCAAGACTCCCCCCCACACACATACACGATTGTTGTAGAATATTACTTTGAGATGTGTTACATTTGTTTGTGCTGTGGAACATTTGTTTTAATAATGCAAAGATGTATTACATTCATTTATGTTGCATTTGTTTAACTCTGTGAAGCTGTGTTACTTTGCCTGTCTAAAACAGGCAAAGATTGGTCTAATTAAGAGCTGAATGGCCAATAGCAAGGCAAGATAAAGGATCAGCAGGGATGGCAGGCAGAGAATATACAGAAGAAGAAAAAGAGGGATCAGAAAGCAAAAGATCTAGGAGTGAGAAAAGGGAGAGAAAAGGACTCCTTCAGGGGCCAGCCATTGAGCTACACAGTAAGCCATTGAATAATAAGTAAAGAAATGTATACAGGATAAAGATAAAAGCCCAGAGGCAAAAGGTAGATGAGATAATTTAAGAAAAGCTGGCTAGAAATAAGCCAAGCTAAGGCCGGGCATTTAGAATAAGATTCCATGTGATTTATTTGGGAGCTGGGTGGTGCCCCTGCCCTCAATGAGCCAAAAGAGTAAAAACAACCAACTACACATGATAGATAGATAGATGATGATGATAGATAGATGATAGATGATAGATAGATAGATAGATAGACAGATAGATGATGATGATAGATAGATGATAGATGATAGAAGATAGATAGAAGATAGATAGATAGATAGATAGATAGATAGATAGATAGATAGATAGATAGATAGATAGATAGATAGATAAAGAAAAATTTCAAAACCACAAAACAATGCAAGATAGATGAGCAGCACATTGTACTTGCTTGTTTTCCATAGTGACCTGGGCCATCTTGAACTCTTCCACTTTGCATTTGTGTCCTGACAGCAGGAGGAGAATTTGACCAAGGAATGGTTTCTGTGCTATTACCTTACCCAGCCAATGCAATTCTCTGAATCACATCTCTACTATAACCAACTTTTGGCTCACAAGAAACATACTCATTCCAAAAGAGCAACTTCTTCATTTAGGCCTTTTGGAGTTCTCAAAAATATCAATTTTTAAGTCAGCCAGCAACACCAGGTAAATATTTTAGCTATCACTTTATTTTCAGCCAGGCTAAGGGACAGTTTTGGAAAAGGTCCTATTCTAAGTACATAACTGAGAAACTGTGGCAGGCAGTCTATGCTACTGTTTGTGAAGTTAGCCTGTCAGTCATTGTGATTGAAACATAACCTTAGTGGCTTCCACTAGTGCAATAAAATGCTTTGCAAAAAGCTGCAGAATTGTGGGATGTAATAAAGTCTGCTCAGCTTCATTTCCAATGCTGCGGAGTCTAGAAGAGCGAGGACCATTTCCGTATGCCTTAGGATTTGTTTGAGTTACTTTCATGCCTGGAAATGACAGAACATAAAAACAGACATTTAGTTAGAACCGGTAGCATTTCTTTTGAGGCACAGTAATAAACAAAATATGTTTGTTTACTGTTAATATGTTAGATTGCCATTAACATTTTATAGGAGATGATATTGATGTATGGGTGAGCTGTGTGAAATAAATGATTTTAGACCTTTTGATGCCTACACTTATTCTCTGGGCCCATGTAGTTTGTTTGCCTTTTGCCTGTCACTAAAGGTCAGCTGAATGGACTCTTAGGTTTCCACATTACCAATTCAAAGCTTATATACAGAGAAAACCAATTCAGACTTGTATGTACTACATGAGAAGGGCATGCCAAACATTACTATTGTCTAAACTCTCTGCTAAGCTTTAAAACAGGGATTTCTGGACTCTGTCCCCTGTATTTGGAGTCATCAGATCTATAGAGAAGCCAGGAATCTGTTTCAAAACAAGCTTTCCAGGTGAAAGTGAAGAGTCTGGCATCCAAGTTTGGGAAATTGTTAAAGCACCGTGTAGCTGGCAGATCCAGCTTTACATAATGGCCAAGGTATCTTAAGGATATGTGTTGCTGGGTGGTGGAGGCACACACTTTTAATCCCAGCACTTGGAAGGCAGAGCCAGGTGAATCTCTGTGAGTTCAAGGCCAGCCTGGGCTACAGAGCGAGGTCTAGGATAGGTACCAAAAATACACAGCGAAACCCTGTCTCGAAATTCCCCCCGCCTCAAAAAAAAAAAAAAAAAAAAAAAAAAGGAAGGTTATGTGTCAGGCCTGAAATGAAATGATTCTACTAACAAGGTTGAATAACTTCGCACTGCTGTGCTGCTGCCCTGTTTTACCTAACAAGAAAATAAGAAATCTCTTGGTGGTATAGCGAGGTGGTTTAGATCCAAACCCAGGTGCTCGGCCCCTGCCTTCTTTGTCGCAGCCATAACCCCTCTCACTTCGATTCCTGGCCTTGGCAAATGGGTGTGACCAGCAACGGGGATGGCAGGGCTTGGTAGCTGGGAGCAGAGCAACAGCCGGAATGAAAGCAAGGCAGGAGGAGGAGAGAGGAAGACTTGATGAGTTTATTTCTTAAAATTTGAGGAAGACTAGGGGGAAAGGTGCTAGAATTGGGTAGCCACTGTGGATGTGATAAATGAAGAGATTTTTGAGAAATACTGTCATGAATCACAGACTTCTCAAGTGTTTTCTTTTTCAAAAATCTTGTTTTTATTTACATATATGTACGAGCTTGTGCAAATGTATGTTGCATGTGTATGCAGCTTCCTGAGGAGGCCAGAAGAGGAGGTTGGATCCTGTGGAACTGGAGTTAAAGACAGTTATGAGTAGCCTATGTGGGTCCTGGGAACTGAACTGAGGTTCTCTGGAAGACCTTCTGAGCCATAGCTGCGGGCTCTCCCTCAGTGTTTCCAAGAGATTCCCGACGAGAATTAAGCTGCCTTTCATGTCTGGTTTGCCATTTGTGGATTTTGGTGCAGCACAAGATACGTAGGACACTGGTTGTGAAGGGCTGGTTCCATGCTTGTTTCAAGGGCTCTGGTTAAGACTGTCTTGGCTTTAGAGCCATTCAAACCCACCTTGGTGAGGATGCAAATATTGGTCTTTGGCATATAGAGGAGAGGTTTCATAAGCCTAGAAACCCATTCCCTGTCCGTTGATAACGAAGTCAGAGAGCACAGGGGGCAGCAGCTCCGTGTAAGGATGTGTGTCCCTGTGGATCAGTATACAGAGGCCGTCACTCCTAACCTGGCCACTCCACACTGTGTCCCTGTGGGATCAGTATACAGCCCGTCACTCCTAACCTGGCCACTCCACACTGTGTCCCTGTGGGATCAGTATACAGAGGCCGTCACTCCTAACCTGGCCGCTCCACACTTCCTCCGAGCAGAGCAATACCATAGAGAAGGTAGGAAAGTTGGGGATTTGAACCCTCCAACTTGCCCTCCAGAGGAGGTCTTACTCTCACATGACCCTGGGGCCATTTGCTGGTATTCCTAGCACTGCTTGTCTTGTCTGGAGATGTGGGTCATCTTCTGAACATTCATCACAGACTTCGTCCTTGAACAATTATTGACTTTGAGTCAGAGGTACCTGTGAAGGCCTGAAAATGGATGTGCCTTCTCTTTTCCTCTGCCTTGCCTGTCTAGGGCAGATTTATGTCCTAGAAGTTTCTATCAGTTTTATTTTTTTAACATTGTGACCCATGTTACTGCCACCACTCCCCTTCTCAGTCCCGCTCTGTGTTCTCTGAGTCTCCTATACCCCTCTCTACACAGGAGGCTCTGTCAGATCACTATCACTGTATCTATAACTCATCTTTCACACAACCTTAGCATCCCATATCCTTCTGGCTTCTCAATGCTGCGTCTGTGGTAGCTTCATTTCCGTAGCTGGTCCAGAGCCTCGTGGGAATCAGCATCTACATTTCATACCCCAAACACTGGGGGTAGGCTTGCAGAGCTTGAGGATAGGTGTGTCCAAAGTTCTGCTGTATGTCTGGCAGGGCGTGAGGTGAGGCGAGCACACTTAGTAGGGCTGCAGGGTCTACATAAAGCACCCACAAATGTGCCTGAGTACTGCAATGCTCCCCCTCTGTGGGTCTCGCTCTCTTGCTTGCATTAGCACTGTTTCTGCCATCTTTGTAGCCAGGAGAGACTCAGCATCAGCTCAGCAGTGGAAGCTGTGCAGAGTGCAGGTGGTGACATGCCCATCTCCCCATTTCTAATGGACCCAAAACAGTGTGTGCATTCTCAGATCTTCCGGTTCCTTCTACGAACCCCACCGCTGATGGTAGAGTCTTTCATTTTACCCAGGATGTCAATCAAAGGATTTGCTGATAAGTAAACAAGACATGCTTCTAGCTCACTTGAAAAAATACTTTAGGCAGAGTGAGGCCAGGACTCTGATCACAAGGAGTCAGGTGAGCAGACTATATCCATGGGCTTCTGCAGGCAGAGAGCTCAGGGGACATGCATGCCCCAATTTTCAACTATGTCTAAGTTCTTAATAGAAACACTGGCAGGTTATCTGTCCCCCTTCCTCAAGAATAGCCTTGATAAATAACAGGGAGAGATAGCATTATATTGCCAGTGGCACATTCTTCAGTCATGAAAGGCAACAGGAGGAATCTCCCATTGTTCTCATAAATAAGAGATAGTTGGGGAAGAAAGCTTTGGATTTGGAAGGGAAATTAAAATGTGTTATGGAAAGCCATCATCAAAGTTTTAGAGAAAGACTATAGAAACCTTTACATCCATCTCTTCCTGAAACCCACAGGAAAGTCTTTGAAATTTCCCTGTGCTCTGCTGTGTGATTGAATGGGTACAGGTAAAATCATGGGTGCCAATGGGCTGTTCCTCTGCGAATCTGCACTGAACCCTGCTGACTTCCTGAATGTGCAACTGTCATCATGGTGGCCAGTTTTCCATTACTGTAATGGATTCATAAGACAAAAAAAATGTATGAAGTAGAAGGGTTTATTTGGACTGGAAGTTTTGGAAAGTTTGTCTGTTGCTTTGATCCATGACAGTGAGACCACATGGTGAGCCGGAAGCAAAAAGGAGAAAAAAGACCAGAGTCTCTTGTAAGCTCAAAGACTATTCAGAAGCCTCACCAGGTTCCATCACTTCCATATGATGCCAGTTTGGGCACCAAGCCTCCAGTCCCTGGGCTTTTAGGAGACATTGTAGATTGTAATGGTACATTCATCAAGCTCCAGAAAACCTTTCTCCATGCTCTCTGGGTGCATTGAAGGAAATGCCATTATGTCCGGTGCATCAAGGAAGAAGCTAGTCTCCCCCATTCCAACGCCTCCATGCTCTGCCCAGGAAAAGTCCTCTTCTACACTGAAGCCAAAATGACAAATTGCTGTCTCTCCTGTAGGTGAATCTTGGTGGGAGTTGCCCACAGGCAAAATACCCTGATAATGTATAAAGTTAAGGCTCAGACTACAGATTCCAACTGTCCCTCTTCCTCTTTATAGTAATGGTTCCACACTTGGTTGCATATTGGGAGATGGAAACATGCCTGTGCTGTGCCCTTTCTGACTGATTTAGAGTATGCAGAAACTGTGGAAGGGAATCAGTAGACTTGATTGTGACAAGGTCCTCACCTATCGCCATTCCTCACCCATGCTTCCATTCTAAAACATGTTCATTGTGCAGTGTGGTTTACTGCTGAAGACAGGGTTTAGCAAGAGTATTTGTCTTCCTCACTCACATAACTGGGGCCATTGCTGTCTTTGCATGTAGTGATTCTTGCCCAATGAGGATTAATGACATGGTCTGTTTGTCCTTCTTGCCAAGGCTGAGACAAAAATGGTTTGTTATCATCTCTCTGTGTTCGTGTGTGTGTGTGTGTGTATGTGTGTGTTCGTGTGTGTGTGTGTGTGTGTTTGTGTGTGTGTTTGTGTGTGTTTGTGTGTGTGTGTGTGTGTGTGTGTGTGTGTGTGTATGTGTGTGTGTACCAAGAACAGAAGTCAAAGCCAGGATTTCCCTCAATCACTTTCCTTCAGCTGTATTTTTGAGGCAGTATCACTCACTGAAACTGGATCTCAGCAATTATCTTAATTCTGACTGTCCAGTGAGCCATCTCTGCCCCTGTGCTGAGATTACGGCACATGTCACTGCACCCAGATTTCTATATGAGTAATAGAGATCCAGACTCAGGCCTTCATGCTTGCATGGCAAGCACTGACTGAGCCATCTCCTCAGGCCCAGAAATAATTTTAAAATTAGGGTACCACATTTACCAATAACACAGCCCTGAGAGGCTCACATAAAAACCTTCTCTTTAACAAGCCTCTTCTTCTAAAATCTTAGTTTCTAGCAGGCTAGTGAGGCAGGCAGAGCAGCCAGGAAGGCATTCTGCTCACACCAAAACAAGGTGAGCAATTTTCTAAGGGCAGGCCCCCTGACACCTCTTCTTCAGCTTTTTCTTAATAAACTGGCCTTTAAAAATGTAGCCCCAAAGCCGCTGGTGGCAATGCAT